ACCGGCGACCTTCCAGAGCATGATGAACAAGATCTTTGCGGATATGGAAAACTGTGTCGTCATTTACATTGACGATTTATTAATATTTACAAAGTCGGACGATGAGGTTGAGCATGACAGGATCGTGCAAGAAGTCCTTCGACGCTTACAGGAACGGGACCTATTCGTTAAACCCGAAAAATGTAATTTTAAAGTGAAGGAAGTAGACTTCCTCGGTATGATCATAGGCCAGAATGGAATCAGGATGAACCCTGAGAAAGTTCAAGCTATTTTGGAATGGCCAGAACCTACTCGCATCAAAGGAGTTAGGGCCTTCCTAGGCTTAGGTAATTTCTACCGAAGGTTTATTGAAGACTTCGCAAAAATCACGAGACCGTTGAACGATCTCACCAAAAAGGACCTTGTTTGGCATTGGGGCGCCAAAGAACAGGAAGCTTTTGATAAGCTTAAACAGGCATTTACAACAGCGGCCATATTGGCATTCCCTGAATTAGACAAAGAGTTCCGGCTAGAAACCGACTCTTCTGACTTCGCCACTGGGGCTGTTCTGTCAATCAAATGCCCTGATGATCTTTGGAGGCCTTGTGCCTATTTATCACATAGTTTGTCGCCTACAGAGCGTAACTATCAAATATACGACAAGGAGATGCTGGCCATCATTAGAGCTTTAGAGCACTGGCGGCACTACTTAGAAAGTGCTAGGCACCAATTCGAAATTTGGACCGATCATAAGAACCTAGAGTACTTCATGACGGCCCGAGACCTGAACCGGAGACAAGCCCGCTACGCGGTGTACTTGTCAAGGTTCAATTATAAATTAATTCATAAGCCAGGAAGCTCAATGGGGAAAGCGGATGCTTTGTCTAGAAGAGAGGATCATGCCAACGGCATTGAAGATGACAACAAAGGTGTCACCCTAATAGATCAATCAAGGGTTGCCAATGTTAGAATCGGGCAAGATTCCGCTCTCCTGGAAGTCTTCAGGAAAGACATCTCCCCAGAGGAAAAGGCGCGCCTTGACGGCAATGAAAACTATTCATGGAAAGACGGGCTCTTTCATTTCAAAAACAAAATCTATGTGCCTGAGTCCGCAAGGATCAAGGCAATAGATAGACATCATGACACTCCAGTGGCTGGGCACCCTGGATGGCAACGAACAATGAAGTTGATCTCCAGAAACTACATGTGGCCGGGCATGGTCAAAGACATACAGGAATACGTAAAATCCTGTCTGAGATGCGCCATGGCCAAGAATTCCCATCAACCGCCGGCGGGTAAACTCATGCCGAACCCGATACCAGCTGGCCCCTGGCAGGATATATTGGTGGACTTCACGACGGATCTGCCCGAGTCAAACGGGTACGATTCAGTAATGGTGGTAGTAGACCACTTCTCCAAAGAAGTGGTATTCATACCCACCAACAAAACCATCACCGCCGCCTGTACGGCAGACCTATTTAAGGATTTCGTATGGTCCATCCATGGGTTACCAGAAACGGTAATCTCCGATAGAGGACCGCAATTCGCTAGCGAATTTACGAAAGAATTATGCCGGATGCTGGGCATCAAACCTAAATTATCCACGGTGTTCCATCCGCAAACCGATGGACAAACGGAGAGACTCAACCAGGAGTTGAAACAGTATCTCCGGATATTTATTAACGACAGACAGACAGATTGGGCCAAGTGGCTAAAGATAGCCCAGTTCTCTTATAATATTAAACAGTCGTCGGCTACAGGAAAGGCACCATTCGAGGTTACTAGATCGTACCTCCCCAGAATGGGTGTAGAACCTGGCAAAAGCAAAAACGAGGCTGCTGGGAACATGGCAAAAGACATAAAGTCTGTCTTGGACGAAACGCGCAAAGTGCTATTTAAAACTGCGGAGCAGATGAAAGACAGGGCAGAGCGTAGACGCTCTAAGGCCCCTGATTACAAGGTCGGCGACCTGGTCTGGTTAGACACCGACCACTTGAAATTAAAAGACCGGCAGTCTAGAAAACTGACCGAAAAGTGGATTGGCCCTTACCGGATTAAGGAAGTCAAACCTAATGCGGTGGAGCTGGAACTCCCAAAACGAATGAGGGTGGTACCCACGGTTAACATTAGCCGTGTGAAACCCTACAAAGGACCGCTGCCGGGACAGTGCGTAGACCGGCCCGGTCCGGTAGTAGTCACCCAGGAAGGTGAAGAAGAGTTTGAAGTCGAACGAGTGGTAGATGCACGCTTGAAGCGTGGAAAATTAGAGTTCCTGGTCCTATGGAAGGGCTATGGAGACGAAGACAGAACGTGGGAACCAGAATCCCATCTGGAAAACTCCCACGACGCTGTTTGCGAATTTTATTCTAGGAATCCCTCAGCTCCCAGGAAGCTTAGAGGCATGGATTCAAACCTTTTTAATTCCCTCTTTCAACCTATGCCCGAAAATTTTACCACTACCTCCGGAATTTGGTCTCGCCTGGAAGTCGAGCCTTAGAAGGGGGGTAGTGTTACGATAACACAATTTCCGGACATCTCCTGTCCTTTTTATTCTCCGCTTTAACTTTATACTTTAAGTGCCACGCGGCATTTCCCTTTCTCGCGCCGCGTTGCCTTTCTTTTACTTTTAGACTTAACTCTCTCACGCAGTGGAGCTGGCCATACGGGCTAGACCCTATGACATCATCAGCCACTGTATCTATCAAACTGTATAGTACACATGTACAAACAACCCTGTAGTAGTATATAAACCCCAATAGATCCAGGAGACTCCTCAGCGAGTCCTCCTGTTGTATACCAACTAACTCACTGTATCTTAAGGGGTAACTACTCCCTCTTCATCTTCTCTATAGTGTGTTCCTGTGTGCACCGGAGTAACTAACTCTTGGTTGTTACACGGAGCAGATATCCAGAGTACCATACGGAGGTGAGGTACAGGGCTATGCCAAATTGCAGAGCATGAGGAGCGTTGTAAGATGCTAAAGGTGTCTGGGAGAGAACTGAGTATAGTCCTGATGTCCAAACACCTATGTGTTGTTCAACCTGCAGGGATCAACCAAGGGATTCAGAAGAAAGTGCTGAAGACTATAATGGAGTGAGTCTGCAGATGAGTTCCTTTTTTTTCAGCAGAACATTCATTTGCAGTGCGATTGTTCTTGATTTTTGAATCATTTTTATGGACACATATTTTTTTAGAATGCCTGACTGGCAACAAGGGAACTGTTTTGTACTGATATTATTTTGCCTTGCTCTTTTTTTACTGTATCTTCCCATGACATCATGATTTTCCTGCTCTCTTTTTGCTATTTGACTTTACTTTATGGCTGTACAAACCTGTGACATTACTTACACACCATTTATTGTTCTATCTCTTTCTTTTCCTTATTTTGACAATCTTATCCTGTACTACCTATGCAGGATTCATCAGCATACATTCCTTCCTTCATGTTCTTTTTCATTCTTTTTGCACAGCTATACTATGCATAGCCTACCTTTCTCTTACTATATAAACCCCTGTATCCCACCTTGTAAAAACAAGAAATCCAATCCAGACTCCTTATCTAATCCCAAGTTCACTCCTCACTGCTACTTGTGATCCAGTGTGGTCACAACACTTCCCACTGCTACTACTGTTAACTGCTGTCATCATCACTCGCCACTTCTGAAGTCATTCACTGTGGGGATCAACTTATATGAGCCCAGCTTATATGCTGAAGATATTGGATATTTGTGTTCTGATTGGCTGAACAAGCTAAAATTGGATATTTTCAGCATATAAGCTGGGCTTATATAAGTCAATCTCCACAGTGATTGTTACCCCTTTTGATTGGAGTCCTTCTGAGCACTACAGTCTGTGTGTCAGGAGCCTGCTATCACTGGGAACCTCATCACCTCGTCATTCTCAAACCTACCTTGTGCTACAATTAGCAAGGTAGTGATTGCCCATACTCATCACAAAGCCCCTATCTTCTATATTCCAACTATCCCTCCTCCTCAAAACCCACACCCATACATCTCTGGGTTTTACTTTGAAAGATCATTATATGTACCACCCCATGAACAACCAGACCACTCCACTGTTCTAGGAGGCAAAGCCCATACACAAGTTCTGTGGAATCTGGGAGGATTGTTTGTTGGTTTGTTTTTGTGTGTGGTTTTCTAACAACAGTTCTCATCATCAACAGTGTAATTCTGAGAGTACTGAAGATTTGGGAGTTCAGACTTGGGGGGTTTCTGATGCTTTAGCTCCATCTCTTGATGAGTTGTATTCTTTCCTTTCCTCCATTGAGTGTTGTACAATGTTGTACTCCAGTGCCCCAAGGTAGTCCATTGTTGGTATTGTCACATGGGTTGGTATGTCAAAACTATACCATATGGTATTGACAAACTAGTACTATGTAGTTGCAATGGTGTTCACACACCAAATTTGACAGTATAGTTTTATGAGACCATTTTCATTACATCTTGTATGGTTTGTGTAGACTATTGTCATATCCTTGCCAGAAGGCATAGCTCCAGAATTCCAAAGAGGACAAATTCTCAAGTCTGAACCCACAAATCTTCAATACTCTTGGGATTACGCTCCTTGTGTTCTGCCGTTCGGCATAACCCTGTACCCCACCTCCACAGGTACTCCGGACATCCTCTCCAATACTCCTGCACCGGACTTCTAGTCCACCATATGTTTCCTCTGCACGTTCTCATATTCCTCATGGACTCTGTAGTTTAGACCTTATGATACACATCTTGTCTTCAAGGACCTTGAGTGTTTCTGTAAATATGGGTTCCCACAATCCACCCAAATCAGGTTTGCTTGGTCCAGTTCTAGGTTCAGAAGACAATGCCTCTGAACTGAACTGAACCAAACTTTGCACCCCTAATGTGAACAAGATGACTTCAAAACACATCTGTCTTGCAGATGCTGAAAGTTTAAGAAGGGCTAGCCAACATGGATGTACAGGTGAATGATAAGCAATTCAGTGCTATGATTATGTCTTTACTATCACCTTCTAACTCAATGTACGGGAATACCCCTGTGCTTGCTTTATTGATCACTATACCACACTTCGGCAGCTCCAGCTAATATAACGTCTCTCACGCTACAGAAGGTTACCTAGTCTGACTATAAATCTAAGCTAAGCCTAGCTCGATCTTAGAGATATCCGGACTAGATGGTTCTTTCGCAACTCCTTGTACATTCGCTCTTCCGATCTGCGTTAGGGCCCATGGGAGTGTCGAAAGACGCGAAGTATGACCACTACTCCGAATGCCAGTACTCGGATTGGAATCTCCTAGGGTGCCGTTGTCGTTTCCAAATCCAACACGGACAATAATTAACAACGGAACCGTCGTCTGTACATCCCATCATCAGTTATATCAGAAAATACCGAGAGGTAAATTTCCCTTACAGCTAATTGCCCGGCTATGTCCACACCAGCCAACCCTGTAATATCACCCACTGCAAAACAGACAAGCAGACTAATTCCACAGAGTACAGATAAACATCCTGATTCCACCATCATGGCAACAGTGCTCCTGTATGAGCTGACCTGTCGTCCTCCTATCACCTTTAACCGTTGGCCACTTAGCCACAGGCGATAAGAGATTCCAGCAGTAATACAAACATGATATGCTGTATTAACGGCCCAGGCAGCTATCGCATAAAGTTCTACATTGTGAGATTTAAGGTCTATCATCGGTTGACTGAAGTGGGCTATAGCGATCATGGCAGAGACTGGTGGTCGGAAGGTGAGAAGTGCAAAATCACCTTGAAAAGGGGACAAATTTAAATTTACCCAATTCTCCGAAAAATAAGAGGGCCTATATTGATAATATGTGATTATGCATGACATGGTACAACGACAATGCACGCACAGGGAAAACACAGATCTTCTTGCTGTAATTCCACACGATAAAGAGCCTCCATATCTAACAAACAATACCAATGGTTCGTCAGTATACCTTACGACGGATAAGTCAACAACTCTGTTACCAATAATAGATCTTGAACAAAAACCTAATGTGAACAAATTCATCGCGAATGGCAAGTAAGAATGAGAAATCACACACATCAAGACAATACATGGTGATGCCAACTGTGTTGAGTTTATTCCCGCCCAGCATTCCCAGATCGTACTCCGACTGGGCTTCGCTATGTACGACAGCCTCAATACCTTTGGCGAGTTCCACGAGCGTTACAATCGCCTGCGAAGTGGCGAAGGCAAACGAAAGGCTGGAAGAGTACAGTAATATCCTACATCGATCGACTGATAAAATGAGCAAACAGGAGCTGAAATGGGAGATAGAGAGCTCGCCTGTTAGTGGATCGATGTTTTTTCGAGAGAATATAGACACAACGACCGAACAGAACGGCACTGGAGAATACTTTCAGTGGACCATGTCACGGCGAGAAACCGAAACTTACTTAACACCTGTGATGAATCCTTATAATTGGTGTGGTTCCACAGTAATAGGAAAAATAGTCGTACCGTAAAGCATAGCCCCGAACCATGCACAGACCAAGTTTATACGGAGGACAGAATTATAGCTCGGCATTGCTAGTTTGAAGGGACACTAATAAATGGGTGCTTCTGTGGGGGTCAAAGCGACAATGAGGCTACTGCTGCTGATCATGTATTCTTATATGCGCAGAGTTGCTTGATGTTAAGGTTACCAAAACTTGTGGTCCAGAGCGGTGTGATTGGCAAACAGGTTGAACGACAAAACCAGTGTGCTCTACGAATAACAAAATCGCACGAAAGGTAACGGTTGCAAAAACTCATCAGAGTCGATCGGTGATCTGAGAAGGTTTGATAGTTAAGCCAGAGCGAAACAGGTTGTCCACAGAAAGGAGTGTTATCCAGGGTCAAAGGCGCTGTTAGACAAAAACAACGATACGGTGGGATTGTATGGCTGAATGTCGGATAGCCTTGATTTGATCTCTTGGAACGACTATTTGAGAGGTTCCAAGAACGAGAGAAAAAGCTGTGGTAAGAAGCGTGGATGGGATGTAAAGGACGTTAATATGTGAAAATTTGAGTAGTCAGTGCAAAACAAACTTTGAAGTTTCGCCTGCTCGCTATTATCCATACCAACGATACAAGCAGAGTACCCTTAGATAGGATGATACCGCGGCACTATTTCATGGTGAGACATTCATTTGACGCTAACGATGTTCGATGTGATGGTAAAGCGATAAGAGGACCCAATGCCGTGCATTCTGGATAGTTTCTGCGCCCACGATTATTTCCGGGTCCGCAAAGGCATCATTACATTTATTGGACGCTATCTTAAGGGGCGTGGCATGGAGGGATATGGTATGGCTATAGCATTGGGCTACAGCGTTTGCGGAAATGACTAGAACGTTGTCCCCTGTCTGATAGCGTGTTCCCACGCGTGTCTTGACTGCATATACACGCCATCGCAACCCAGTCCTCTTTCTTTCAACTCTCATTTGCCTTCTATTCCAATGGCGGACTTGTGCCATCCTGTAGGTCCTTTTGCAATTGCTTACCTCAAATCATACGTCTAATTCTTCACGTATTATATAGGATCGAGACTGGATATCAAGTGCACTCAGCGCCTTTCTCATTTACGGGCTCGTCATTTCATACATACCCCAGGTAGACAAATAAACACACCTTCTCGTGTCGTTCTCGACTAAAGGTTGATATAGCACCTGCGAATTTACAATAAGAAATCATCAGAAGGATTCAGTCCATGGTATCTACTGCTCGGCAGCACGTCTTCCGCAGCGGGCATGCTGAACATGTAAGTCGACGTGGTTGTCAGGCATCGTCGAGGAAGCTGAGGCGCTTCAAAGGATTGCACTTCAATGGCCAGTCATTCGGTGCTGCAAAGAACTCGTAAGCAGCTCGTTAAGCCCAATGGCTAAATCTCATCATAAACATAGTCCGCTGGACAATGTGTTGAAATTACCGCCGGTGTCTCTCAAGTTATTCTGCAGTGGCTCTTATTCACTGTCATGCAAGTATATTTCTCCCATGTGTCATTTCAGGCATCCTAATCATATTAATGACAGCCTCGTGCTATACATGATTTACTACCCACCTCACCTTAAATATGTGGAGTTGAACATCGATGCTCACGATGCCCGCCCTCCGCATCACGTCAAAACCAGGATCCTCAGTAACGACTGGCGGCTTTCTATCATCCTTTCTTGGGTAGTCTTTGTTCATCTGTATGTTATCCACGTCATTTTCTGCCGTGTATAATTTGACATCATGTTGCAGTGTTCTGCTCTCTTTTGTCACCATTTTGCTACTGGCTACCAACAAGGCTGACCCAACTGGCCTGGTGCATAGTCGCCAGATCACGCTTTGGGCAACCTTTTTGGGTGTGAGCTCTGCTATACTAGCGGCCATACAGTACATGCCACAGTTGCTCAGGACATTCCAACTGAAACTTGTAGGTGCGCTAAGCATACCTATGATGGTCATGCAGAGCCCAGGTGGTATCATGATGGCAGTCTCAATTGCCAGGAGGTAAGCGTATTTTATACCTATTGAGTTGCTGTGATTGATTTTATATGTTAGACCTGGCACCAACTGGACTAGTGCGTTTGTGTCGTTGTGGTAATCCAAGCTAGATGCTGATAGAGGTTCTTCTTGGATCTAGGTTGGGCCATGTTCGCTGTATCTGCAATCATGCAGTTGGGTCTGCTCATTATGTGTATCGCCTGGAAATTCCGGCAACGCAGGTTGGGTGTCGATGATTTCGGACATGACCTGATGGGTGACAGTGAGGATTACAATCCGGAGACTGACGACACTGTGTATGCCACCGTTGTGGAGAACAACTTTAGAGACCATGAAAGAATAGTAGACGAGCAGGATGAAAATTTCCAGGCTCAAGAAGGCACTCCTTTGTTGCGCAAGCGCCCGCAAAGGGGTGAGAGGAGGAAGAGGTTATTACGCTGGTTCTTGAAGGAGTGAAATTATAATATATACGAGGGCTGTTTGGGCCTGCTATATAGAGCTTACTGTATGGTTTCTTGCTTTTTTTTCCGGTTTCTATTTTACTGGTAGTTGTAATGGCCCAACTATGGATGTCTATGGTTTTTTGTGCGTTTGAATTCGAGGGAAAAGTGAACGTTGCCGTTGGCGTAAGCAGCCTAGTTGCCCAAACAGGCAACTGCAGACTTGCCCATCTACTGCGACCACCATGGCCAGCCTGATTGCCATCCTAGACCTAAAGGGAAAGCCACTTATCCAACGCTCGTACAAGGACGATGTCTCACCAACTTGTATCGAAAGATTCTTACCACTCATCCTGGAAATAGAGGAAGAGGGTCAGCAGGTTACACCATGTTTCTCCAGCCAGGGCATCAATTACATGCATATCCGTCATTCGAACCTTTATTGTGAGCACTGATGGCCAGTTCCTATAATATGTCGAAGGTTTCCTATGACGATTGTTTTTATAGTGCTAGCGCTGTCGAAACGGAATACAAATGCAGCTGAAATTATCATATTCTTGCACCGGCTGACTCAAGTTCTTGTGGAATACTTCAAGGAGTTGGAGGAAGAGTCGATAAGAGACAACTTTGTGATCATATATGAACTCATGGACGAGATGATGGACTTTGGATATCCACAAACGACTGAAAGTAAGATATTACAGGAGTGAGTCTGATTAGACATCGTTTCCAGAGAACTGACCAGAACATATCATCTGCCTCGTCGAACCTGTACAGATACATTACTCAGGAATCACATAAACTAGAAATACAAGTCCGTCCTCCTATGGCTGTAACGAACGCTGTGTCTTGGCGGACTGAGGGGATCCGATACCGAAAGAATGAGGTTTTCTTGGATGTCATCGAGAGTGTAAACTTGTTGGTATGCACCTCATTTACCTGTTCACTTACTAGCGTAGCTTAAAAGATTCATACATATGTTAGGTCAATGCAAACGGAAATGTCGTCCGCTCGGAGATCCTTGGCGCTGTCAAGATGAAATGCTATCTGTCAGGAATGCCCGAGTTGCGTCTAGGACTCAACGACAAAGTGATGTTTGAAAGCACAGGGCGAAGTAAATCATCCTATCTCGTTCAACGTGTCTATATTCACTGAGATCGCATTTCTAGCATCCCGTGGAAAAGCAATTGAGATGGAAGATGTAAAATTCCACCAATGCGTGCGACTATCTCGATTCGAAAACGATCGTACCATATCATTCATTCCACCTGATGGCGAGTTCGAGCTGATGTCGTATAGACTTTCTACCACGGTGAAGCCACTAATATGGGTTGAGGCTGCTGTCGAAAGCCACAAAGGGAGCAGGGTGGAGTATATGGTCAAGTGTAAAGCCCAGTTCAAGCGGAGAAGTACTGCCAATAATGTGGAGATATATGTTCCTGTGCCAGACGACGCTGATAGTCCAAAGTTCAGGGTGAGTCTATAATATTACAAGAGTGATCGGTGAGCATAATTGGTTGGACGATCATAGGCTTCAACGGGTAGCGTTCAGTATGCTCCCGATAAATCTGCTTTCGTTTGGAAGATTAAGCAATTGGGTGGAGGCCGTGAGTATCTAATGCGCGCTCACTTTGGTTTGCCCAGTGTCAAAAATGGTACGTGTACAATCCACTACCTCTCATGATCTTTTCTTTCCTGATTCTTTCCTGTATTGCATCACCGACTTTCAAAAGAACAAGACGTTGAAAAGCGAGCACCCATCAGTGTAAAATTCGAGATCCCGTACTTTACAGTTTCTGGCATTCAGGTGCGATACCTCAAAATTGTAGAAAAGAGTGGTTATCAGGCGCTACCATGGGTACGATATATTACACAGAATGGAGATGATTACAGGTACGTGACCAGCCATTGGCAAAGACTGAATCTGTAAACTGAATAAGCTACCTTTGCAGCCTTCGTACAGCATTAGAGAAAGGCAGCGCGCCCATTGTACCTATGTAACTGCACACTGTATTGCTTATGATGTTTAAGTTGGCAGATCATCGATCATCATCAGCGCAGCTATTCTACGAGAAGATAGAGCGATTATCATTAACGACATGAATTTTCATGAGCATGTGAGATAGAACGGTCAAAACCGGTCAAGTGCGAAACAACTACCGTATCGATAAAATACCAGAGCGTGTAGTCGATGACGATCTCTCCTTTCCATCAACTCTTTTCTTCTTCGTAGAGGCAGCTTCCCATATTCTCCAAAATTTGAGATTCTCGTCCCCAGCCCCAGTACAGACCACATCCCCAGCTGGCGAAACAGCTGAGTATAGCACTCTGGAGTCGTGTGCATCTCTGATCTCAGCGATGCGCTCGAGAGAGGGGTAAGCATGTACCATGATGGCGTTTGTGGGGTACCCGTGTGTTGTCATGAACTCTTTCTTATGAGGAGACCATTGAATAGATGTCACCTGAGAAGGTGTCTTCAAGGAGTGTAGACGGGCACCAGTGCTGCTGTTCCATATGTGAACAGTGGCATCGTTCGTGCCGCCCCCACTAGCAAGAAGAGAAGGTTGCCACGGACACCATGCGATGGCCTACGAGCGTCATACATTTTAGTCGACTACGCCGAACAGGGACACACTGGAGCTTACCTTGACAGCAGCTGTATGATTACGCTTAGTCCACTTTGCTGTTCCTTGCGTACCTTCCCCAACATCGCCCACACGCCCATCCCAAATGTTGACGACGTTATCATTTCCCCCACTTGCAAGCAGCTCACCGTCTTCTCGCCATTTCAAACCGCAAATTTCACCGGTGTGTCCAAGTAACTCCATGACCTTGTGTCTCGGAACACGCACATCATGATGCCATATACTACCATCTCCGCAACCTGAACTAAGAATGTGGGCGTGCCAGGAGAGTACAGCTATCTGACCCTGATGTCCAGCCATTGTCCTGAGTTTCTGCCCAGCTTCCACGTCCCACAACTCGACCTCGCCGGTACCAAGGCCTATACCAAGGTACGCGCCGTCATTTGAGAAATCAACCGATGAGACGTATGAGCCCTCGGGAGCCTCGCAAAGATGAGAGACAGCGCCGACGTCGGCGCGCCATATGTAAGTACTCTCGGCCAGTGCGACAGCAACAGCATTCTGGCACGACCAGGACACAAGATTGAGATAGAAATCGTCAACCATACCTGGAGCATCAAGAACACGCTCAGGTTGTGTGGGGATCCGGCGCGATTTATTGGTGGTCGTGCCGGTAGATGAAGGCAAAGCACCTGGACGGGCATATAATGGACGGGCGATCTCACGCTGCTGGGCGAGTGATGAGTCAGATGAAGACGCAGGAGGGGCTTCATGATATGCTAAGACACGACGATTTAGCGGTACGCCAGCAGCTGCGGCGAGACGCGCTGTGTGCCCTGGTGAAGCAGACTTGGGATTGAGACTCATTAGTTCGAGGGTAGCTGCAACCTCTGTCTCTTCACGGTTGGTAATGAAGCGATCGCCGTTGGAGTGAGCTCTATCACGGGTTGCAGGCGTCGAACGAGAGCGTTTGAGCTCGGTCTTTGGCTGTGATTGGGGTGGAACGTAGTCTCGAGAGACGACATCAAGCCTGCTTTCTACGCCGCCCTTTCTGATGACACCACCACTGGCCTGTCTCTGGAAAGAGTCGTATGCAGGGACTCCAGCTGAAGTGGTTCGCTTGGCTGGCGATACTGGTCGTGAACGGGAGATGAAAGGATTGGATAGATCAGCAGCTCGGGTGGACTGTTTGTGACCTTTGGTGGGGGATATCGAAAAGGCGTTCAGCGCCGAGAGCAACGATGGAGTCAGCGGTGTTTTTGCATCTGAGCGGGAACGATAGCGCGACGGTGTCTTGGGTATCGAGCTCATGTCAGAAAAAAATACAAGAAAATGCGTGTAAATGAGAACGGATGGACAAAACGCCACTGCCTCGAGCATTTGAACGTACATGCACGTGTACATCACATGATCATGTCACGTGCATTGATTTCCGTCACGAGCGCGGTCGCGTCTCCAGTACTGGTGTTAGCCTCCGCTGTCAGCCCTCTACAGCTCTTATAACGGTGCAAGAATGGTGTGTATCTTCGGTTGAGTCTTCCACATCACACGCCTTCACCGTCCTTCATTTTACGCCCGCACGGCCCCACTTTCACGACACCATGAACGGAATCATATCAGTATTCAAGCTCAAACACACCCTCCTTGTACTTGCCGCAACTGTCACCATCACCATCGCGATTCCTACTTCAGACCCATCATCTTTGTCTTTAGCCTCAAAAGCCAGTGCCACCACACACACAGGTTATTACTGGCCATCATATGCAACCACGACACCAAATCCGGCTGACGCAAAGTTACATCCTGTAACAGAAGTCCTGGCAGCAATATTTGGAGAAGCAACTTCAACACAGCAGGACTTTCCTTCTACGACGCTCGCACCGTACCAGCAAATTCCCTCGCCAGTGGCGCCTCCAGCAACAAAGCCTACCCTTCCGGTCACGACCTCTTCAAGTCTTCCCCAGCCTACCTCATCCCGACATGGCAGTTTTGCAGCACAGCACAAGGAGCTACTCGTTGCCATCATTATTGGCTGTATCATGGGCCTCATCCTTTTCGCAGTTGTATACAGATTTGTGGTCGCGTCTTCTGCATGCAATTGCCGAGGCCGAACTCAACATATCGGCCAGGAAGCAAAGAGGAGGACAATGTCGCTATTCCGTCTTTCGAATGAATCGTGGGGCATAAAAGGTCCTGTGAGAGAGGAAAAATCGGTTGATCTGCGAGCCATCGAAGCAAACGATATGGTAGAGATCCCGCTACATGAGAATTACTTCGCTGGCCGGCAAGACGTCAGACACCACCACGACATCGCTACATACGCATTCCCAGTGCAACAATCTGAAGGGTACCCTCATCGCTCCATTCCGAATAATAAGCGACCAAGCATGCTCAGCGTGTCTGCTGCTTGCGCTATGAAATCGCGGCTCAGCAGACTGCTCTCATCATCGACGTTTTCGCATCGCGACACCATCACGACGCAGGATTCTGAATCGACAGCCCATCAAACGTTGCAGAATACATCTGCAAATATGAACACATCTTACCATGGACGGACGAAAAGCGCGCCAGTTGGGGGACAGAACCGGCCTAAATCGAACAAGTCCACCAAGTCGAATGACTCGGAATGGGATATTGCACATGCATACGGCGCACCAAGAAATGAAAAGACACTTAGCGTGGGCGCAGCATCGAGACTATCTGATGTAGGATGGCATTGAAGTAACTTGAACAGTTATAGAAACTCGTGCGGCTTTGTATACAATTGCGAAGCTAATGCGCAAATAAGTCCAGAACACACACAATGTCCAAAACTTTATGCGTACATTGGACATCAGCTGTGATATGTAAAGGAGTCAGTATAACACGATTGATCATAAGACATTTAAAATTACAGTTATCATACTGATCTATCCGTAACGCAGGACAAACATCCGTATCAAACTTCAACATCCTTCCCTCCCGGAAATTTCTCGTTGGATAGGACGTGCTTTAGACGCTCTAAATTTTCCTCTCTGGGCACAAACTTGACTTTGAACTGCTTCGGCATCATAGTCAGTGCATTGTAATTATCAATCGCTTCAACGGGATGGAGGCTGGCGGAGCCCTCAATGTTTTCCCGGGCTTTCTCTAGGCGGAAGTAGTAGACGATATACATGCATGTCACATACATCTCCCGTATGCCGAGATGCATTCCAGGACACTTTCGTCTCCCTGCACCGAACGCGTAGGTTGCGCGGGCTGCATCAGATTCTTGTTTCTCTATGTACCGTTCTGGTCGAAAACTCCATGGATCACCAAAAAGTTCTTCATTCATATTGCAAGCCCAAACGTTCAGAAATACTGTCGTCCCAGCTTGTATTCTGTGACCTTGCCACTCTGAATCTGCGATAGTGGCTTTTGGAAGAGCGAGCCGGACTATACTGTAGTATCGAGAGGTTTCTTTTACGATAGCGAGGACAAAGTCAGATTTTTCAGAAAACGGGTCGAGTGGTCCTCCTGCGTGAGAAGAAACAATATCCCGATAAGCTTTTTCTTGCATTTCTGGGCGTTGAGCTAGGACGGATGTCATCCACAACATTGTCGTTGAGAATGTGTCTGCGATATATGAGTAAAATCAATGTCAAGACAGCCTAATTATAGATAGAGATAGAAAAGGGGGGTCCTTACCTAGAGATGCAGACACCATAGTATTACAAATAGACATCTGTTCTGTTCGGTCCAATTTAGCTTCGGGGTCACGAAGGATGTGACCCATTATACAAGGCACATCCGTATTGTCCTTGATACGATCCAGTAAATCATCTAGCATTTTCTCTAGGAAGACAGTGCGACGTGCTGCCAACTCTTTTGCTTCTAAGTTCCTGGAAGAATTTGGAATGATACGCAAGATCGGTAGGTAATCCACTAGAGAAGACGTCACCGAGCGAATTCTATATTCATTGGCAAGTAAGATAAAAAAAATCAATCAATCTGCAATACTGATTGCGTACTCTCCGATCCTGGCTGATACATCAACTATTTCTTGAAACAATTCGCTGTCTATATCACCCATCCGAGTACCGTAGTTGACGAAGAGTGAGATGTTGAGACCAAGTCTTTGAAAATATCGGTTAGGATCGATATACTCCTTGCCATGCTCTAGTAAATCCTTGAGGGCAGCGAGTGTCTCGTATTCGATAATGGGTGTATAAGATTGTACACCTGGCTTGTTCATGGCAGTGGCAGCTGCCTTTCTGCGAGCTTTAAGCGAGCCATCCCAAGGACTGGTGCCGATGGAGTACGGTGCAGAACCTTTATTTGAGAGCACATTGTGAAATGTGTGAAATAGGGGCGCGATATGTATGCTCCGCCCTGCTTTTCAAGGAGTTCCATCGCTGCACGCGGTGTGTTAATAATCACCACATCGCGCTCGCCCAGGCGGACGGCGAAAACCTCGCCGTATTTGAAGCCCCAAAGACGAAACGTCTCTGACCAACATTTGCCTAGCTGGAACAGATTGCCGATTATTGGGTAGCCAGGAGGGCCTGGCAGGGTCGTGGTACGAGCTGGACTACGTACACGTTCGGTTGAGAGATTGTGTGCATACAAGGCAAGGAGGAAGGCTGGAACTAGGGCGACAACGGTGCCGGCGATGATTAGCATTGCATCTAACTGATATGACAAGGTATCAGAGAGAACTTGAAAGAGCATGGTTGAATCTTGAAACGACGGCTGTCTGGCTTTCAAGGAAGATATATAGTTTTCTGGTCTTATCTATGACTGGGATATATATGCAGGCCAACACGAGCTGCATGATGAATAATGCCTAGTGGTCATACGCGTGATACACGGAACAGGGCTTCATCCTGTTTTAGATTTGTATGGTGTTTCTCATGACAAATGCTAGAAACTGGTATAACGACTTACGAGTAGGGTGTTCTGTCGATTTCCGTTCTGGATGTCTAATACAGCACTCTAGTCTCCAATAGCCGACCAAATCATTATAATATTATTATCTATAACGAAGGGGACAGTGGTCCCAAAAGTCGCGTGCGGAGCACGTGGGAGCACGTTTTTTCGCTTACACTGCGGGCATTGGCTTATTTAAGCCCAGCTTATATCCTGAAAACATTCAATTTTAGCTTTTTCTAGCCAATCAGAACCCAAAACTCCCATAATTTATGATATAAGCTGGGCTTAAATAAGCCAATGCCCGCAGTGTTAGCTTCGCTCGCGTGGTTTTCGGTTAGCAGTAGAGGGAAGGTAGTGCAGTAGTAACGAGTGCAGTGAAAATTGCAGCCACATTGAAAAGTCTCACGGTTATAAGAACATTCAACAATTGTAGTGAAAATTGTAGCCACATTAAAAATTCTCGCGCTTAATCATTTTTACTACAAAACGCGATATAGTGACACCAAAACTCACGCCTGTGGCACGACGTGACACAACTCAATCAAACAAACCTCTTTTCCTACTATGTGGGGAAGTGGTCTGGCCCTACACACAAAACAAATTGTTGTCGAGAATTTGCACATTTTGCATTACAAAAATTAACAGCCATTATTGACCACACTGTGGTGTGCATAAAAATAAAATCAAAGACCCTTCCCCACACATAAAAACACAGCTTACACAATGTGAGTTTATAACAGTTTATGGTGTTGATTCAATTAAAACTGACACATTGATTACAGAAGCCCAAATTATCAACAAATCAGTGCACATAGCAAATACATAAATATGAATATGAGCAATTCAAATATGCAGTATGTGTAGCATTGTTAATGTGTCATTAACCATTAACTGATATATTGATGTGATTTGTAGACATATTCCACAGACTCCTGAACGAGAACGTGGTGAACATCGCGATAGAGATCGCATACAACGTCATCAACAGATGACATCACCAAGTGTACAACGAGAGCACCTCTTGGATCAAAGAGATTTGAGAAATAGAAATATTGCGCAACCAAATTTTGGAAGACCTGTGGATGATAATAACATGCCTCAGCTATTAGCTGGACCTGCACACCCTCAATTGCAGCCCCCTTTTCAAATGCGGCAGGGTAACCAGTTGCTTGCTACCAATGGTGTTGACTACAATAAAAGGCTATTAGATTGTGAGGAATCAATTTTTCTTATTGCATTCCCGTCATGTCGTGGTTAGCAGACTCGATCCCTGTCACTCCTCTTGCCCTTGGACTAGAGATTACAGCAGGTGTTTTATTACTTTTATCCTTTTTCTTCTTATTCTCTATTCACACTCACGTCCTATTGTACCTACAACGAAGGAGACTTGTTGTAGACCCTCGAGAAGATATCCAAATGACATAGCAATGATCCAGTGCTATGTCTGGGAATACTTCGGAGGAATATTGATAAGTGAAGAAGGTTGTGAGTCAGCGCCTTCTCATGGGCTTACTGATACAGCCAATTGCACATCCCTTACCAATACGTTTTCTCATACGATTAGTAAATACGATAGATCGGACCACCTTCTCCTTTTTTTCTTATTGGTTAGCTAGCTGGTCAGACCACTTTCTTAGTTCTTCCCTTTCTCGGTCTGACCATCGCCGTTCACTATATAAAGAAGTACATACTCGATGTACTATTCTCTAGTTCAATATTAGTTTGGATTTGCGCTTATACCGATACTCTTCATCCTCATACCCTGATTCATCGCCTTCCAACAAGGACTTGACCAGGCGTTGTGCTTTGTTATATAGCTTCGTATTTGTTGCCTGACATAGATGGGTTTCAAAACCGACATGACATGCAGAACGGGTTAATCAACGGTGTAATAAACTAAGAGGGCAGGAGCAGGTCAAGGATCAGGCAATTCAGCAACAGGAGGCAAGTCCGTAGGGTGCAGAGAGCTGCTCAAGAAGAGCTTGAAAGGAGGGAAGAAGAGCTAGCAGATCAGGCTCACAGGGCTGCCAGAGATACTGTAGACCGAGGCGAGGACTTAAATGAACCGGTAGCTGCCAGAAATGCACCAAGGATGCCAAGGCCTCAACGACTTGCAAACGAACGAAATATTGCTGTTACAGTTTGACATACCAGCACCTACTTATGCTTCACCTTTGTACTTCTACTTTTATTTTCCAAGTCACATGACCAGTCATGTGACCATTTACCTTGCTTTTCATTTTCGGACCTTTCCTTTAAATTTCATTCTCCGCTTTAACCTTGTACTGTAGTTTTCACACTGTGCCATGTGGCACTTCCCCTTTTAGTTCAAACTCCACCTTTCTCACGCAGCGCTGCCTTTATTCTTATTTTAGCTACAAGTATCTCATGCAGTGGAGCTGGTCACACGGGCTAGGCCCCATGACATCAGCAGCCACTGCCTCTGGCAACTGTACAGTACATATGTACAAACAAACATGTATTCAGTATATATACAGGAGCAATACATGGGGAAGGACTCAGCGAGTCCTCCTGTTGTATACCAACTAACTCACTGCATCTTAAGGGGTAACCACTCCCTCTTCATCTTCTCTATAGTGTGTTCCTGTGTGTGCCGGAGTAACTAACTCTTGGTTGTTACAATTGCCAACCGCCGCCAAGCACAGGTGATACGCCAGGAGGCCCGACAACCATATGTAGAGCCTCTACACCGTCATACTTTACGCAACATGGAAGTAGAGTGCCGTAATTGTGGAGCATTACACTGGGATATCGAGAGACTCACAAGTTCCTCCGGGATCCATCCAAAATTTGGTGTGTGCTGCCTTCAAGGTCCCTATGCATGAAGAAAAACCAACAGTATTGCACCTTCCCATTCACTTAGAGGATCAGCAAACTGTATTCTTCAATGCCCATGATAATACAGAGAATATAATCAATAACGACCGTACATCAAAGACTCAAGTCACAGAATGGTTCACTGCCAATAAAGATCACCCTGAAGGCCGTCACATAACTTATCAGGATTATCCTCAATACTTTGTCTAGAACAAAGGTGTCAAAAAATGGACTCCAAGAAAACCACAATTTGCTATAGGGAGAATGATGTTTGTCCATCCAAGCCAAGGGGAGCGCTTCTACCTCCGTACACTGCTCACAGTGGTCCCTGGAGCAGAGAGTTGGGAAGATTTGCGCACATTTGATGGGGTTTTACATCCAACTTACAAAGCTGCATGTGCTGCACGTGGCCTGTTAGAAGACGATGGTGAATGGGATCAGTGTTTGGCAGAAGCAGGAGATATGGAGACAGGCCCTGAACTCCGTGCTCTCTTTGCAGTTATCTTACTGCAATGTCTCCCAAATAAGCCTGCAAACCTTTGGAACCGGCACAAACACAAGATTTGTGATGATTTACACCATCGCCTTCTACAAAGAGGGATTGCCCAACCTTCAGAAGACCAGATTTATGATTATGGACTATTCTTGCTGGAATCCATACTTACTCAAGCCAACAAGTGTCTTTCAAACTTCCCACCAATGCCTTTTCCTCAGCAACAATGGGAGCCTATTATTGCAAACAATCTTCTCCACGAGCAGCAAAAGTATGACAGATTTGATCTTACTTTGGAGGTTGAAGATAATGTAGAGAGGATTAATCAAAAGCAGCGGAATGCTTTTGATACCATTATGCAGTCAATCCACCATAATCAGGGAACAACTTTCTTTATTCACAGTGCTGGAGGTGGGGGCAAAACATATCTCTGCAATACAATTGCAGCCGCCGTTCGAGCAAGGGATAATCATGATGTTGCTCTATGTGTAGCATCCTCTGGGATTGCATCCCTGCTCTTGGAGGGTGGCCACACAGCTCATTTACACTTTGGAATCCCTATTCCTGTACATGAAATATCGACATGCAGGATTCCAAAAAACTCTGACCTCCATGAGGTATTGAGACATACCAGAGTTATAGTCTGGGATGAAGCACCAATGCAACACTGTCATGGGATTGAAGCATTAGATTGTATATTGCGGGACATTTTGGATAATCAACTTCTATTTGGAGGCATTACAATGGTCTTTGGAGGGGACTTCCGCCAAACAACACCTGTTGTTCCAAGAGGGTCAAGGCAACACATTATTTCTGCCTCTCTTAGAAGGTCATGACTGTGGACAAATATCCGTGTCTGCTATCTCACACAGAACATGTGCCTAGACCGTACTCCAGAAAGTGAAGCCTTTGCTAGCTGGATGTTTGTAAAACCCTTATCCCCTATACCGAGTTAACGGAGGGACGAAGGCTCAAATCAAACAAGTAGCGTTACAAATAGCGATTGAGAATTAATCAACAACTGAGGAAAGTATGTACATGGTGGTCTACTATATATATGTTTCTGAAAGTCAGCCATGAGGCGCTGACTGATCTAACATGCAGCAGCCATGAGGCGCTGACTGATGTTCTTTGTAATGGTTCTAGACTTTAGTCACGTGATCTGATATAACTACGTATTATGTTATCCGCGCTAAAGCAGCAGCTTAACATATCTTATCTGTCATGTGATCGGATATCAAAGAAAATGAAAAAAAAGGAAACTAGTGCTCAGACTAGCGCTTCTGGTTCAAGTCGTGACAATGTTGGTGGTGGTCGTGGAATCGCAGGAGATGGAACTATTGAGCTTCCCGCCAACATGCTTATGCCAGAAAACACCATAGACTCATTAGTCAACACTACCTATCCTGGAATTGCAAATGGAGACAAAGATGACCATTATTTCCTCCACCGCACCATCCTCTCCGCAAAAAATGATGCCGTTAGCGGCCTTAATTCAGCAATCCTCACAAAATTCCCTGGAGAAGAGTTAGTAGCTCTGTCAATTGATAAAGTGGTTGGAGAGGGGCATGAACATTATCCTGTGGAATTCTTGAACTCCTTGCAAGTATCTGGCCTTCCTGAAGCGCACCTCAAACTTAAAGCTAGATGTCCACTTATGCTCCTCCGCAATATTGATCCCCTAAATGGACTCTGTAATGGAACACGCATGATTTTGATAGAGATGAAGAGAAGAGTATTGAAATGCCGTGTCTTGGGAGGAAAACATGCAGAAAAGATAGCTTTTATTCCACGCCTCACATTGGAACCTTCATCAGAAGAATTGCCCATCAAGCTATCACATCGTCAATTCCCTGTCCGTGCTGCCTTTGCCATGACCATCAACAAGTCTCAAGGTCAATCAGTGACACAGGTTGGGCTGGATTTACATGTTCCAGTGTTTTCACATGGGCAATGTTATGTTGCATTGTCTCGCTGCACTTCAGGAGAGAAAATGAAAGTGCTATTTCCACATGGTTCAAATGACAGATGTACCGTCAATGTGGTGTATCCCGAAATTCTGACTGGCTTTATCTGTGACTGGCAAGTAGATTTTTCCCCAATTCTCACCCTTTTTACTAAAGTGTTTTATTCTCAGATCATATTTTCATCCTTTACCATTTCTGGAGTCTCTTTTTTTATTTCTCATCAATTTATCAATGTAGTACCATAGACTTTTTACATTACAATATATGTTGATGTTTGCAAAGATTCAATGAACCATCTGCTTGATTCAGTATACTGTGCAAGTTTAGGGCAGGCTTATAAGGACATTCAATGACAGAACTGCAAGTCAAACATGCATCATAGGATTCAAAGACTTAACATACATTACAGACAGCATAAGTTCACTGACTTAACATTTTGATCACTTAACAGTATTATTATTATTATTATTCCTGGACCCGTAGGTTCCAGGTTTCCAAAGCACAAATGTCCGCTGCGTTTTCCAAGGACCTTTTAGTCATTACTCATTTACGTTTACCTTTCTCGCACTTTCGGCTCATTCCGTCTATTGTCACGTGGCTACCTTGGTGCTACTCACTCTTGCATCCATTGTACGTTGTTGCTCTGCGATCGCTGTAAAGACCGCACAAAACGTTAACTGTAATGGCCTGCTGTGTGATCTGGACACAGCCGGGGCCAGGTCTGCCCAGAGGACAATGGTTATTTATCATATAGCAAAAACATTGCACCAGTGGCAGAGCCACGGGCTGGACCTCGTCATATATAGTAGCACTCAATGAGTGCTGGAAGACAAAAACTCGGAAGAGTCCGTGCGTAATGGCCACGTGCTTATCGCGTGTTTCTAAAGGCAAAGGAAGACATTTTGACTCAGAACTGAGGAATTGGCATTGACCAAAGCGAAACTGCGAAATCCTGATATCAACATTTGTGGGCATATTATTGGCTAATTAGTTAACTCGGACTCATCACTTGCATTATAGATTACCGACCTTCTGGCAATCCAACAAGATGACCACTGTCCAAAAGATAAAGGTCCGCCGTTACATGCATCCTGCCTTGCATATAGCAGCACTTATATTGAAGGTATTTTTGAAAGGAAATCGAAGATGAGATGGTAAAGCAACGGCAATTTTCATTCTCGACAGTTGCTGAAATCCTGTGTTTGTAGGCTAAAAGTACGTCTACGAAGATTAAGTCGAAGAGACGAAAGTGAATCAGGATCGGTATCCTAGCTCAAAAAAATAAGGCCACGAGTTATCACTTGGGACAGCTCAAAGCCAAGCTCGCCAAGCTAAGAAGAGACCTCATTTCTCCTCCTACCAGTGGAGGAGGCGGAGGAGGCGGCCTTGGTTTCGATGTCGCACGAACAGGGGTAGCATCTGTCGGTTTCGTCGGTTTTCCATCCGTAGGGAAGGTAAATACCCATATCTGCCAATTGGTATGATTTTGACCTGGCGGCTTAACACCCCTAGTCTACACTGATGTCAAAGCTCACCGGCACGCATTCTGAGGTATCTGAAATCGATTTCACAACCCTCACAACGGTTCCTGGGACAGTCAAAGTGCATGGTGCACCAATACAAATTCTTGACCTGCGTGAGTATTTTGATTCTTGAAAACAACGTGTTTTTTTGTAATGTGGGTCATTATAGCTGGTATCATTGAGGGTGCCAACGATGGGCGAGGTAGAGGTCGCCAAGGTAAGTCTCATCCGTTTTTATATCTCATCTGAGCTTTTTGTTGACCAAACTTTCTCGACAGTCATTGCTGGTACGAACCTCACATTATAATCTCAATACTGAGTTCACTCTTTGGATCCAGTTGCTCGCACATGCAACCTCATATTCATCGTTCTTGACGTGTTGAAGCCACTAGGGGATAAAACGATCATTGAAAGAGAACTAGAAGGGTTTGGGATCAGGCTCAACAAAAAGCCTCCAGCTATTCTCGTGCGCAAGAAGGATAAGGGTGGAATTGCCATAACAAACACCGTCCCTCTGACCAACATCGATCAAGACGAGATCAAGGCTATTTTGAGCGAGTATAAGATTAGCAATGCAGATGTCGCGATACGGGAAGCCAATGCTACCGCGGATGATTTGGTGGACGTCATAGAAGGAAATCGGTAAACAGAACAACCTTTTGTCCAGTAGTCCAGTTTCTAATCTGCACGTGTTAGGGTCTATATCCCTGCGTTATATGTATGACCTCTGATAATCTCTAGGTTTACATGCTAAAGTTTCTGCTCGCACTACAGGTCTTGAATAAAGTATGTGGGTTAACTTCAAAACAATTCGATTTGGTACATCGCTGCTGATTTTTAGATCGATGCAATATCAATAGAAGAATTAGATCTTCTGTAAGCCACTTTGCTGTGCTGAAGGTGATTATGTTTACTCATTAATGGTTATTATCTAGATACAAAATTCCTTACAGTGTTCCCATTTCCTCGCGAGAATGGCTTAATGTTGACGAATTAATCGAAAGCATGTGGCAATCACTGGATCTTGTTCGCGTTTATACGAAGCCACGTGGATTATCACCAGATTACTCTGCCCCAGTCGTACTGAGAAGAGGTCGGTGCACGATAGAGGATTTCTGTAACTCGATTCACAAGGAAATCGCCAAACAAATGAAATAGTAAGTTCAATGTCATCGCTGTGCTTCTATCTATTGTTGAGATGATATCCTCCAGCGCCGTTGTTTGGGGTGCTAGCGCGAAGCATGCTCGCGGTCAAAAAGTAGGGCTGGAACATGTGCTCGAGGACGAAGATGGTCAGTCGCTGTGCACATCCTTCCTCGTTCAATTGCTTAACCCTCTCTCAGTTGTGCACATATCAAAGAAGTAGTCTCTCAAGCTGTATTCCATGTATCTAGGGTATCAGAATCTCATCAGGGTGGTAACCCTCTTCTACTCTTGCGTTAGATATATAGCGCTCAAGCGCAGAAACGCCCACACCAGTCCTATAGCACAGTATATGCTGGTCAGCATAAGTGGTAGGAAAGTTAGCGACTCGAAGCTTCGTGAGAGCAATGGAAGCAAAGTTAAGACGGCATGAAGGAGCAAGAAACCACCGAGGTAGGTTTTCTCGAACATGTCAAGAATGACCCAGGGCAAGGAGGCTGGGAATCTGCAACTTCACGTAAGCGAGGCCGGGCTGCAGGCTAAGAGCTACTCACTCGTATGTGTGATTGTTCAATGGTAGAAGAGTAAAGAAGCCCCAAAGGAGTGCATAGCTCAGCTTGACAAATGCCTCTTTCTCTTTTGGTCAGCGTTTGAACTCGATGTCAGGAGTTTCTAGGCTTACCTGCTGGTGTGAAAAGAAGGGGAAACAAAGAATAGACACCGGCGACACTTGCGATGACGAAGGTTCTACAGTAAGCATGACTTGACGTCGCTAGCAGACTGCTGAAGTATTAAGAACATCTTCCTCTAAGTATTGATCAGCTATATACCTTAAAGGAACAAGAATGAGCAGTACGGCCTTCTCGTGTACATGCCATCCAAACATAAAGGACGTATAACCGCACAAAGTGAGGGAAGCCAGGAACGATTTGTACGTGGGTGTCTTCCACAATTTGGCAAGGAATATCTGACTCGATTAAGTGAGATCAATAAAATATGCCATCTTAGAAACTCAAGGCACACGAACCGATTGGAATAATATCGTTATCAAGAAAGTGTGCGCTGGCTTTATATCTGGAAGTATAGCAAATACTGTATCTCCGACGAGGCCCCTAGAGGTTGAGGAGATACCCGACTCATTGATGACAACATTGATACCTGAGCCCTTCACGTCTGGATAAAAATGGACATTAGATAAAGAGAAAAAGGTAAAATGGGAGGGTTTGGGACTGGACTTTATACATACATCTCAATAGGACACGATCAGCTGCTGTGAACAGTGCCCAGACGTTTGGAGCCCAGTATGCATGATTCAAACCCCTCGTGAAAGGAAATAATCGAGAGAGAAGCTGTGGAAGCTGGCCCATGAGAATGAAAGGGCCGAGAGACACAACGCACACAACGATGACAGTGTTCGCTAGTGAGATGAACCGAGCTGGCAGTAATTCACCCGTTGGAGACATACAGTGGGATCTCAGGAGATAGATGAAATAAGCAGGCTGTTGGGATTTTAGCGCAAGATGATATCAGCAAAGTAAGAGGACAAAAGGTTGTAAATGGCATACTGCAAGATACATATATATGTGTTTGAAGTTCAGGAGGACGGCGAAGAAAAAGCCACCAGCTAGTTTGTTTCCCTGAGGCCAGTTAGGTAGAGCCTTATATTGGTAATGAGCCGTTATTATGACTTACTTGACGAATTTGATATATCGACCATAGTAAAATGCCGAACATGAAGCCATTGTACTGGAAATGTATATGATCGACGATAAGAAACCCGGGATGGAAAAACAGGGAGGCTGATATGATACGTTGTACAGAGATATTTTCTGTTCCCCGGACAAACCTGTGATGTAAAATTGGGTCGAAGGAGGTACAGCGTTGAAGAGGATGAATCTCTACCTGAGGAGGGCTATTCCAAGTACGAGTTCTGTCAAAATCACAGTGGTTCTCTGGTATACGACAGCGGACCATGCACTATAATTGGAGTTCTGAAGGTCTATGATAGCGGGATCGACAAGGAGGGCAGGAATTGACAGGATTTTCTCAAAGTACGCAAAGAAGGGAGGGTAGTCTAATGCTACAAGAGAATGAGAATGAATTGAAGACTTCAGAAAGGGGTGTGCTTACTCCATTCTGATGTTGTCTGCCATATATATTTGAAATGTGAAGTGTCATTCGAGTAAGAGAAGAGAGGGAACATACGTCGTAGTACCATTGTGATATAGGTAAAGAATGGGTTATAGCAAGCCAGTTACGGTGAACTTCGAAATCTGTGGATCGACTGGGTTGGAGGAAACATCAGAGTTGATATAACTAGATATCTTAGTGGATCATACTATGACGGGAAAAGGAGGAGCTTCATGCATACGGAAAACAGCAGGAGATCAATTTCCGAGGAGGTCAGGTCCAACTTTATGGTCCATGGAGTACGCTGAGAATTTGATGCTGCTGGGACAGAATCTGGGACATCTTCCAGGGCTGCTTCTGGAATCGAGTGGTTCGTGTGGATGGCACCAGGCATTGGAATTGAAGACTTTGCCATTTGCCAGTCCGCGTTTCTACGTTTGTCTGTTATAGTGCCAGTATGGGGCGATGCCAGTTAAACACTGCCACAGCGGCGGTTGGTCCCGTGAGAACATTAATATTGCAAAGTAGTCGACTCTTCGCTATAAGTGGGATCTGCAATATTTATTCATGGGCATTCTCATTACTGCTCAAGATGTTTACTCCTCCCAGTGGAGAGTTCAGTCTTGTCAAGTAGCTATGGCATAAATTACCCCACAGCGCCGACACGGCATTATTGCTATTCTGGCATATCAATATCTGAATTGTCACCTTTATGGTAAGCCTGTAACCATCTCAGTGCCTTATCTTTCACTTGAGGATATGCCGAATGGCGCCACTGCCGATAGAGGGATTCTGACAGCTATGTATTATGTTTGGGAGATTCAAGCACCTTGGATGGAGACAGGATAACCCAGCAAGCTGCACGGGATCAGCCTACGTCATGCGACTGTGCCATGGTCACTATATCAATTGACGTCCATCAGACACGTCAGTCAAGGCCATACTCTCTTGAGCGTGCAAAGGTCGAATGAGACGTCGGAACCGCTCTCCACCCTGGCATTCTGATTAATGCCCGATGAGGCGGTCATCAGATGTCTCGTTGAGTGTACTCGCCAATAATTAGCCGGCCGAGCTCATAGGATGACCTTTTCTGAATACGCAATTTTCAAGAGGGTTGGCGGCGCGGTCTCGTAGGTTTCATGCTGATCCATCGAGACCCAGAGTGAGCCGCAGATCTCTCCAACCCCTATGGCTGGCCATTGGAACGCAGTATGGCACGGTCGTTCCTTGGACGGACATACAGCGTTTGTGGCTGAGGAAGGGTATGTGATTTGATTCCCAGAAATAGTGTTACAGGCAATTGAATATGCTGCATGAAAACGGTTTCGCAGATCACTCAAAGCAGGACGTGCCCAAATAGGTGCGCACAGACTTCGATTGAGGTTAATTCGGGGTACAAACAAGATTTGGGTGAGGATCGCGTTGGACCTGCGCCTATCGCCGGGGACTATTCTGGTGCTTTCCTATATATTTTCCCTATTTTCAATGGATGTCGAGATACTTCTAATTATTTAATTATTTTTGGCTAGGATCTAATGCAAGGAACGCTTGTTTATTATTTATTCTGTCAGCGAGATGTTCTCGTTCTCGTCTCTTCTTCGCTCTGCTCTCGCATGTCGCTGTCGAAGCAATATCCGTGGTGCACGGGTCAGCTGTCTTCCCCACTTTTTTCAGCTTTTATGGTCACTCCACCTCTTTCTTTTTGGCCCTCCTTTCTCCCGATCTTCTTCTTTTCTCCCATTCACGCTCCTTTTCTCTGTATCATGAACGAGGTATCGTCTATCATGGCCTCCCATTTCATTGGTACGCACCCTGCTCATCCGTCCTATCAGCTATCCCTGCTCATCGTGCGTCACAGGTGTGGCACTCTCTAGTCTGTCTGTTCTTTCTTTCGCAGAATATTAGACCACGCGACTTATCGTTCAATCAGTTTTTATGGTATTACCCTCGTTCAGACCTGGTATTACTTCCGCACCTATCATAACGATGCCCTCTCAATGAAACTTCTTGTGGGTTTATTGTATCATTTTAATCCATCCGCTCAGTTATATTGCTTTTCAGGTTGGTTTCCTATGGTATGGTCTCCAGCTACATCCTTAGTAACCATCCATTCAAGAGCAGAACACAGGATCTTGGATACAGCGCAGCTGTTTCTTGTCTCGATATCCATATATCACTATACCATTACATGGAGAGGGATGCCAGATGTCATGTCTCGCGTTTCGAAGTACGTCTCTCATGTGTTCATCTCAAGCTGCATATTCACTTAACTGTTTACAGAGAATTTGAGGTTAGTCAGCTTATCCTTAATGTCTAATTCCAACTGTCTGACGTGTCATTAGGCTGCAATGGCGGTAACGGTAAGCACCACCGAGTCAATCTTAACAACTTTGACGAACCGTAAGTTAGGCCACAATAGCCTTCTTTGTCCAATTGTGCGTTCGTATTTGCATTCATCATTCTTCATGGTACTCACAGCCCTTCAGAGCTTATGCACATAGGATATGGCGCCGTACGTTATCAATAACAATAATCCCACCTGTTTAATAAAAGCATAATATCGCAGTTAGTTTTCATGATGTTTACTTAACTTCAGCTATCGTAAGACCTTATTATACCTAACTTTAGCTATTCTGTACTTAGCTGTCTTGTCTTAGGTCACTCTTTCCATTATTGCTCTAGGTTGTGGCGGAGGTGAGTCTTTGGATGTTGTGCCTACTTGATTGCTTTGATTTAAATTATTATTGCTCAGCTCTGGTCGCTAAAACGTGGGTATTTGTTCGATTGAACAAGAACACCAATTTATATATTATGTCATCAGCATTCGATATCCCCTGTGGAATGATTCACGACCTAGCAATGTAGGTCTCTACTAGATCATCTTTACGACGTTCTATGGATAATAAACCATGTTTCCAGCTTCCCGCTTCTATATTCTTCGTCTCAACTATCGCATGTGACGTCCTCATTGCAACCTCACAAGTTTATCTCTTCCATAAATCACGGTCAGGGATAGGGAGGTTTGTTTTTTCCAGTAGCTAGTTTTGCTGTCGAATACACCTTAACCAGACGTAACGGATAGACTTGGCGGCCTTATTACGAAACTGACAGTCTTGGTAGTCAACGTCGGGTTAATCACAAGGTGAGCCATATGAGTCGATGAGTGGTGATGGGTTGAATAACAATGATTTTGTTTTTTAGTGTAGATATTACCATCTTTCTTATACTTGTACGTGATTTGACCGCCCAACTAGGCCGCTCGTCTTATGCGATAACCTACAGTTTCTCGCTTGTCCCCAGAATGGAATATTTCTGATACCCTATCTTCTTCTTAGCAATTGTGAGTATTCTTCGATCGTTTTCGAACGGCCGTTAATATCAGTGTTATCACAGGCTACCTGAACTCCTTCCTTAGCTTGTAAGCCTTCTTCCATGTTTTGAAAAATATATTGCAATAATAACGTATGCGATTGCATGTGCAGAGTCAACTCTCGTACCCTCCTTCGCGAGCTCGCGACGAATAACTACGTATGTCATTGTCTTTTTCTCTTTTTCAGGTGCTGGGATGTTGATTTTGTGGTTGTAATGTAGTACAGTGATCCTGATATAAGCACACATCCTCGCCTCGACATGTCATAGCGTCGATTTATTTTCGCATTTCGATCTTTCAGGCAAGTTCGCCTCCCACTTTGTGAGGATACTCACTCCGCGCATATCAAGTCCTCAGAGGGCATGAGTATGGCGGTTATATGTACTATAACATGTTTCTCGTTGCAATACATGGCATGATCATTTGAGAAACAGACCTACAGACCTACGGGGGGATGTAACAAAATGTAGAACTTCGAATGTTTGTCCTTGTAGTATTATGATTCGAAACAAGCCGGGCTGGACTATACGCATGCCCTGCCGATGGGGCTTATTTGGATGAGTGCATCATGCTTTAGCTCAATTGATCAGGACTAGCTTTAATACTTGACACTCTTCAGCTCGGCAATACGTCGATCTAACTGGTGCCAGTGCACACATATTTTCTTCATTTTGAAGCTCAAAAAACAGCTACTATCTAGGAATCAACTATGACACTGTCCAAATCAGTATACATGTATGTTGCGTCGTCCTTCATGTTAACCTATTCAAATAGTTGAGGTGCAGTCCAGCTCCACCCATTAAAATTCAACCCCAATCCATTGCATTATCACCAACTACAGCCATCAGAAGGTATACCAGCCATGTCGTAGCGAATACAGACAAGTTCAGCCTAGAAGAACTTGATACGCTAGCCTGAGTCTTCAGCGCCCTTGCCGCGCAAATAGATCGTGGAGTGGAGACTAAGACGTGGATCAAAATGACAAGATCAATATCATATTTAGCTGACATTTTCCTAATCATTCACCTGACGTTGTATTGGTTCCTGCGGAGGGCGTGTCTAATACAGTTGAAGATGCCATTAGGCTGGTCGTAGTTGAGCTTGAGGAGATATTCGTGAATCTTTTTTTTTTTTTTTTGGAATTCATCACATTGTGCACGTAGATTCACGGAAGAGACATCGCCAGTTTATTTAATTCACGGGTACCCAAAAAAAAAAGGAGATGCGAGAGTTTCGTCTCAACTACTATTTCCGAAACAAGCTAGAAGCCCGAAATAGAGTAGCTTACGATGGAGGAGGGCAGAATGTGACGGTGTAGTCAGCGTTAAGGCTTGCGTCGCATGTGAAGATGGCGGTACCGCTAGATTCGTCATAGGCATAACAGTACGAGTTCGGGCAGTTATCCTCTGGTAAGCAAAATGGGCGGTTAATTGCAGAATTTTTGACAAAAATGATAAAATTCTCACTGAAGTAGGTGTAATACTCCACACCAGAAGAAGGGCAAGTAGCGGGAGTGCTATAGCTACCAGTGCAACAGTTGGGTGAATTGGCTACCAGGGAAAACGGTATTAGGAGGATAGCAACATGACTAGAGAAAACTCACAAGGATCTCCATCCAAATTAGCTTCACAGGCACTCTTACACCCAACTGGGAATCCAGTTGAATCATATGGGCCTTGTATCGCAGCAGGACCTACAGTTTAGATATGACAATCAGTCTCAAACTCGGCATGACATACGAATCATTTACAATTTGGGCCGAGATCAACGGGACAGTCTGCTATACCACAGCCAACGTTGTTGTTAATGCTGATAGGTAAGTTATACCCATCCACAAGGGAAACTGATCATCTCATCAGGAATTATCTTTGATAGGAAAGGATGATCCAGAATTACCATCGTAATAATCTAGGCCAGTGGTGCCTCCCAACGTAAACTCAGCAAGGCTGGCAGGTGGCACACCCTGAATCCCCAACGTTAGTGACACCATCCACGTAGAAATGTGCAGACTCACAGTGCCAGTAGTGGGATCACACACAAGCCCTCCATTGCAGCCACCATCAAGACAAGAATTCGGCCCAGGATTGGTGCTGAAATCACAGTCACGACGTGCCTAATACTTGAACATTAGCAACATATAGCAGCGAGACGGATGTATGACTGACCCAAATCCTCCCCGACGTCCAGTTGTCTGGAACCTATAACATAATCATATATTTACTACGCACCAATATGGGAAATCAGTCCATACCGAGAAGCTAACTGCGGTGTACGCATTCGCCGCCCACCTATACGGCGTACATTAGCACAGGTCCCAACGAAGTTGCGACACAGCGTTTACACACCCGGTCGTATATGCAGGGGCATTGCCGCCTGGGGCAGTGAACATCTACATTGCGTGTTAAGCACACAGTTAGAACTTCTATTAACAAGATCATCTCACAGCAGGCCTGAAAAATTGTCATCGTCAACAAGACAGGCGGGATGAACATCATTGAATGTGAATGTGCTTACCAAATGGTAAACGGGCAGCCATTGTAGACGGTGAAGGTTCGCTGGGCCAGCGTACCAGAGACCATGGCAAGAGTAGAAGCAATGTGCAAGTATTTCATGTTGGAAAAAGGTTGAAAGAATTGTTGCAGCGTATTGTCCAATTACTGCAGACTTTATATACCGCCCCGCCGCAGGTGTGGGGAATTTCAGCTGACGGCGTCAACCCCCCAAGTCTGATGGTCTGATGGTCAGGTGTATCAGGTACAAAGAGTCGTATGAATCCCAAAGGACCGCATAGGAGAGGTCATGGCTGCACCTACAGCACGCTGCTACGGCATGTCAGCTTCGTGTTCTAATAAAAGACTGGCACATACCGGGAAATTGTAATGAATTGTGCACTCTCGTGCCAGGCCCTTGATCGGTGTTTGACTGTTCCACATGGGCTGTTGAAGTTCTTGCCAAGTATCAGAGGAAATGGACTTGGTTAAGCTACTTGAAATGCTGATAATAGTCGCGATTCCATCGGAATCTGGTCCAGATTATCAGCCATGATAACACACCTAGCTTGATGGACCAAAATACTCCAGGGCAGAACTGTGATCAATAGAAAACATAGTTACGTCTTGTCGGTGATGATCGAGTAACAAAGCCTTCACTGGTTCGGGAAAAGGACTCGGACGTGCGTGTTGAATTATAAATCTGGTAGCCTCAAGCAATATCCCTCTTGACAGGCTGAGAGTGATTTAACAGATGTCTGCCCGCTATTACAAGCTTACTAGTAGTCCAGGCGTCACATATGGATGGAAGCTAACGAAACCAACTTTCCGCAGATGGTGGCGCCGCATCAAGGAACAAATAACTCAGCGGTCATCTTTGCCCTACACATGTGCAAAATGCAGAGAAAGGGGTCGGGCGCTGCATTACAAGTGAGGGCTCTACTATAGCTATACAGTGCCAGGCGACGCGTTCGTGGACGTTGCTGATGGAGAACGGCCGCATGGGCAGAAGTTGTATACTAGTACCCAGCAAATGCGTGCAGTGCTGGAAATTCAGCTAGTCTCCCCGAAGGAAGACAGTCCCATTCAGCTGACAACACTCCTGCTTTTCAGATATGATTATGAGACTACTAGTATTGCGTATTGCAGAGTACCGATAGCCGACGAGCTAGCAAAGAACATCCCAATCTCATAAACAAAACCTGTAGAAAAAGAAAGAAAAACTGAGCGTAGAAAAATGTTGAAAAGAATTCGGAGATAGAAAGGAAGACTCAATATTTCACTGGGTAAAACGAAAATAGTTGAATCATATCTGCAAGATCACAATCGTACACAAATGAGTTTCCATAAGATCGCAATGAATGTATAAAACTGAAGACTAGATGACGATGGTGACGATGACAATGAGAGGAAACTAATGGTGAAGAGCATCTGACACAGGGGTTATAGTGGTTTGTTCCAGGGGGTGTAGTAAGGGTAATGGTGTACCGTAAAGGTAGTGATAATCCAATTTGAATGAAAATCCGAATGGTATTCAATGGCGAAAGGCACAACGAAAAGAAGCCGAGTCCGATAGGAGAAACCGCCACAAAACTATACATATACATGAGCCATTTGGTTCATCACGAAATACTAGACACTGACCTTGAAACTTCCACCAGCACACATTGACCGACAACCTTGCCAGCACATTCCTCATTGTAACATCATTTTACTGCAATCATAGCGCAACAGCACGCTGCATAGGCATTTTCCCAAATGCTGGTGATGGCGTACGTAATGATGATGGAGACGGCGACGGTATACCTAGTGAAGGAGACGACACCCCCAATGATGGTGAATGCACGCCAGACGAAGGCATTCGCATCCTACTCCCAGCTCCTGATGGGTTCGAGCTATTGCGATACACCATTCCAGTTCCCGTCCTCGGTTTCGGGCGTGGACTGTTACAGTCCGCAGGCGATGTAGGCGACGTAGGTGATGGCGCTGCGCTCGATGCGGTGCTTGTCGACCCACGACTCAATGCAGAACGCTGTTGATCATGCACATTCCTGTTGTATACCAACACCTGACCGGGCTTGGCCTGTTCGCCTGGCTGCTGCAGTCGCGCTTGAGGGTGCGCTTGGGCGAGTTTGAGCGGACGTGGGAGTAACATCTGACTTGCCCGCGGAGATGTTATGCCCGACTTCGCGTGAGCGGATGTGCTGGCACTTCCAGGAGAAGGCGCCGAGCCTGAAGTGCCATTTAAGCTTGATCGCAAAGCTTGAGGTACAGCCGACCGCGCGGCGTTTGCACCAGCCGCCACTCCCACTGAAGACACTGACGATGCCGACGAATAAGTTCTTGGACGCGCTCCACCGACTCCAGCTCCAGCTCCTGCAACAAACGCCGCCCTCAAACCCATACTCGATGGGTATTTCCTCAGCCCATTGTTCATCCCATTCGGCAACGGTGGCAAACCCTTTTCGATATTCATGTTCTTGTCCATGCCAATGCCCATGCCCACGTTGATTCTCTCTTTCCCAACCTTCACGCCATTGTCATTTCCTACCACTCTTGGCCCATCATCAGTACTTTCCGGGGTTGCAGGTAGTGGCAGACTAAGCGACGACTCAGAGGAGAGTGTACCATGATCAGAAGTAGGGGGAAACACGTTCTGCGTGGGTGTAATCGAATACGACGAGTCGGGAATGCTTAGGGCGAGTGACGATGTGGCGCTGGTTGCACTCATGCGCGGATTTGGCGTCGAGACGGCGCGCGGTGTATGACCTATTCGGGTACCACTAGGTATGGACGGTCCAGCTTGCGGATTTACTGGTTTGGAGCTATGTGAATGAGGCGAGACACTAAATTCGTCAATTTCGTGGAGGATAGAACTACTGATGGAACGAGAAAGAGGATGAGGGGTGGCCTGCAAGGAAGATGCCGACGATCGACGAGAAAGATTAAGTGAAGAGAGGCGACGTGTCAACGGCGAAGGTGCATCTTCGTCCTCGCTGCAAGGTGTGTCACGAGATAAGGTTAGAGGGTATAACATGAGCGAAGCGTGCATGATTGGGCTTACCTATCACTCCATCCTAAACCGGTTGTCAAACCAATGCCTCCTCTTAATAGTTTACCATCACGATGGCGTACGCGTCGTTTTGGAGTGTCTCTCTCGTCTTTCATCAGTCCACATTTAGTCATGGAAGATGTGTCTATAGAATTCAAACAACCATGTGACCGTGGATAGGAAAGATTGGATAGGGTGTCAATGTGAAAGTGTGGTTGTTTTAGAGAAGACCCGGAATACATGCGCGAAGACAGAGGCGAATAAAGCGAGTGATTGAATATTCGTAACGCGCAAAAGAAAATAGCAAATGTCAAAAATGGAGTCTACAGTCAGCACTCATCTCATAGCAAGGAAGGGGCAAAAACGCACTAGTAGCGACGCTAGCTACACTATCTGGCCTTTTCCCTGCCGAATCCGAGCGTGGTGGCAACAACTTGGAGTTGGGAGAGAGCAGGCCGTGGCGAAGCATCAAGTTTCTGTTGTGATGTGATGGTTAGCCCAGATGAAAATTAAATGTTGAGATCATAATTTAACAGATGAGATTATCATAATCCAGGTCGTTGTAATAATTGTGAGAAGGGATCGACATGGTGGGATCATGATGCTCGATCACAAGCATTAATACCCAGCCGATGTAGATATAGTTTTAAAGCAAGCAATGAAAGTCAAGAGATGCCAGACAGTGCCAACACAAGCGAAAAAGAGGTCAAAGATAAAGATAGTGACTTGAAAGGGACGATATGTGGCAAAAACTCACGGAAGAGGAGTATGCAAGTCAATGCTAGAATCCGAGTTATGGCCATCTTCTGCATCGTAAGCACTATTGCGCTTTTTTTCCAGAGCGTCGTCGAACTGGTCTGTCAGGCGGCGGTCGGACATGGGGCGGAACACGGAGTCTGTACTACCTAAAGTATCCAAAGACTGCTTTCGCATTGTTGAGTCGACGACACCAAAATCAGACCCCAACGAGTCTTCCTGTAAATAGGGGAGACCTGAAGCAGGTCCGTTGTCTGCAGCATCGCTGATTCTGCGAGGTCGGGGCAGGTCGTCGCCCGTATGTCTTCGGAGGGGCAAGGTGCCAGATGCGGACTGGGCGAGACGAGAGACAGAGGTGGAGAGACGAGCGGCGGATTGCGTGGAGTAGGTTGAGGAGCGCGAGACGCGGGTAGATGCACGTGAAAGACGGCTTGAGGTGGATGGGCGACGTGGACGAGGAGTGGCTGAAATGAAGTCTGCAATGTCGGGACTTGTGGTACGCGGGAAAGAATTGTCGTTTTGGGATGAGAGACTGGTGCGCTGTTTTTGTCGCAAGGGAGGGGTGGCTG